GAAGAAGGTACACCTTAGCCTTCAATCTGATATAATTGCTGTTCTGTATTTTGGACTGGTGCCTGACTTCCTCAATGTTTTTATAACCTCTCAATTTCTTAAACTTTGGTTTTTGCAACCAGTTCATAAATTTTAATAATCATCATATTAACAAGTCTTTTGGTCTGAACATTGTTATCCCACTAATGACAACATTGTATTTCAGGATAGGTCTATTTTAAATGTATTTTTTGTTTTATATTGGTTTGCATACAAAATCTGTATGCATGTGTTTCATTCATATACATGATGTTTCGTACATGCATTTTCATTCATATTTTGTTTCATATGATCATTCTCACACATTGTTTTATCAAAGTAATCACCATTGGTCTATGCGTCATCTTTTCAGGTCTCCACTGGATCTTTCCCAATTCCTCTACTTCCTCAACCCACCAAACTCTCCGACCCAACGAATGCCCTCCCTTCCCACTATTATCCTCACTATCAGCCTCAAGTACTCTCCACTTTCCCCTTTGGACACTTGCAATTTTTCTTTTTGAGGATGACTGTGATTCCAGTCTCTTCAATTTTTCATTCACTTGAGTAGATCATATGAATGTGTTATTTTAATGGTCCAGAAAGGTTAATTTCAGCTGTGAAGACTAGGTCAGATGCTGACTATGGAACAGATGACCAACTACTCATATGCAAGTTCAAACTTAAGCTAAGGAAAATTAAATAAAATCCATAAGAACCAAAATATGACCTTGAGTCTATCCCACCTGAATTTCGGAACCATCTCAGGAACAGGTTTGAGGCCTTGAATACCAATGAGCGAAGACCAGATGAGTTGTGGGAAGATATCAGGAGTATCATCCAGGAAGAGTGCAAAAGGTCAAAGGCAGAAGGAAGAAAAGATCAAAATGGATGTCAGAAGAGACTCTGAATATTGTACTGGAGCACTGATAAGCCAAAGCACAAGGAAGAATTCAAGATACTAAAGACCTGAACTGAAGATTTCAAAAGGCAGTGCGGGAAGACAAAGTAAAATACTACAATGAAATGTGCTAAGAGCTGGAGTAAAAAAATCAAAAGGGCCAAACATGTTCAGCCTTTTTTAAGCTCAAAGAACTGAAAAACAAATTCAAACCTCGAGTTGCTATAATTAAGGATGCTTCAGGCAGAATATAAGTGATCCAGGAAGTATTAAAAGAAGATGGAAAGAATATATAGAGTCACTGTATCAAAAGGAATTGTCAGATACAGAAGAATTTCATGAAACAACATATAATAAGCATGAGCCTATGGTGATAAAGGAAGAAGTTCAAACTGCTTTGAAGGAATTAGTAAAAAAATAAGGCCCCAGGAATAGATGGTATAACAACTGATGTATTACAACTAACAGATGCTGCCCTGGATGCGCTCACCAAGTTGTACCAAGAAATCTGGAGGACAAACACTTGACCAACTGACTGGAAGAGATCTATATTTGTTCCCATTCTAAAGAAAGGTGACCCAACACAGTGTGGAAACTATAGAACATTATCATTGATATCACATGCAAGCAAGATTCTGCTGAAGATTATCCAAAACCGACTAGAACAATACACCAGCAGCAAACTACCAGAAGTCCAGGCTGTGTTTTGAAGGGGTCATGGTACTAGGGATATTGTAGCTCATGTTAGATGGATCTTGGCTGAAAGTAGGGAGTACCAAAGGAATGTCTATTTGTGTTTCATTGATTATGCAAAGGTGTTTGACTGTGTGGATCACAGCAAACTGTCGATGACTCTGAGAAGAGTGGGAATCTCAGAACACTTGATTGTGCTAATGTGAAACCTATACTTGGACCAAGAGGTAGTCACCAGAACAGAGCAAGCAAACATTGCATGGTTCAAAACTGAGAAGGCAATATGCCAGAGATGTGTCCTATCTCCATAGCTTTTCAACCTATATGCAAAACAGATTATCTGGGAGGCTGGGCTGTATGAAGAGCAGTGTGGCATCAGAATTGGTGGATGATACATCAACAATCTGCATTATGCAGATGACACATCTTGCTTGCTGAAACTGAGGAGAACCTGAAGTTCTTGCTGTTGAGGGTCAAGGACTATATCCTTCAATATAGATTGGGGCTCAATATCAAGAAGACAAAAATTCTCACTACTGGGCCAATTGGCAGTATCAGGATGGATGGTGAAGAGACTGAGATTGTTCACAGCTTTAGTTTGCTTGGCTCCACAGTCAACACTTTTGGCACCAGCAGCCAGAAAATGAAAAGCTGTTTTGCAATGGGAAAGTCAGCTGTTAAGGACCTCTACAAAGTACTTAAGAGCAATAGTGTCATGCTGGAGACTAAGGTGCAACTGACAGAGACCATGGTCTTTGCCATCACTTGCTATGCATTAGAGATCTGGACAATGACTAGGAATGATAGAAGGAGAATTGATGCCTTTGAGCTGTGGTGTTGGATAAGATTACTGAAAAATCATGGACTTCTAAGAAAATGAACAGGTTCATCTTGAGAGGGTTAAGCCAGGCTACTCCTTGGAGGTAAGGATTTTGAGGCTTTGTCCAACACACTTCGGACATGTTGCAAGGAGGGACTGGTCCTTGGAGAGGGACGTCATGCTTGGAAGAGTCGAGGTACAGTGCAGGAAGGGAATAACCCCCTATGAGGTGGATTGATTCGATGACTGGGGTAATCGGGATGGGTGTATCAGAGACAGTGCGATTGGCACAGAACAGAGCAGAGTTTAGGGCTGTTGTACACATAGTCAATATGAGTCACAAGTGACTTGACGACAGATAACAAGAAGAAAAATGTCTGTTGTTGTGTTTCATAGAGAACCATAGCTGATCCTGTGATGGTTTTTCAGAGGCATTAATCACAGGAGAGGAGATTGCCCATTCTTTTCCTGTGGAGCACCTCATGTCCTCAAACCACGTGCCTTCAGCTTCTTGCCCCTAGCTAGGCCACCAGAGCTCATTCAGTATTGTCTAGGAGCATTATGTATTTCTGCATTGCATTTCACTTGTGAAACTTCTAATTTTCCTAGGTTCAAACTTAATTGATTCCAATTTTAAATTATTAGATTCAATTATATTAACGATTAATAGAAGTTATTATCTTCATTAATAAATGAAGACCCTTCATTGGCTTAAAAAGTATAGTTCAGCCACATCACTAAGATAGCATCTACTTTGAGGAGGTAGCCATCCACTAGTAATTTTAAATATTTCCAACATAAAGGCATTAACCTTTCACTGTTGTTGTTGTTATGTGCTGTCGAGTCCCTTGTGACTCATAGCGACCCTATGTACAACAGCTCTAAACTCTGCTCTGTCCTGTGCCAATATCACTGTCTCTGACACACTCATCCTGATTTCCCCAGTCACCGAATCAATCCACCTCATAGAGGGCCTTCCCCTCCTGCGTTGTCCCTCCACCCTACCAAGCATGATGTCCCTCTCCAAGAGGACTGGTCCCTCCTTACAACATGTCCAAAGTATGTTAGACAGAGCCTCTGAATGCTTGCCTCCAAGGAGCTGCCTGGTTTAACCCTCTCCAAGATGAATCTGTTTGTTTTCTTAGTAGTCCATGGCACCCTCAGCACTCTTCTCCAACACCAAAGTTCAAAAGCATCAATTCTTCTTCTATCCTCCCTGGTCATTGTCCAGCTCTCTGATGAGTAACAAGTGATTGCAAAGACCATGGCCTGTACCAGATGCACCTTAGTCTCCAGAGACACACCGTTGTCTTGAGTACTTTAGAGAGGTCCCTGACAGCAGACTTTCCCATCACAGTACATCTTTTGATTTCCTGGCTGCTGGTGCCAAGAGTGTTAATTGTGGAGCCAAGCAGACTAAAGCCGTGAACAATCTCAATCTCTTCACCATCTATCCTGATGCTGCCAATTGGTCCAGTGGTGAGAATCTTTGTCTTCTTGACATTGAGCCTCAATCCATATTGAAGGCTTCAGTCCTTGACCCTCTGCAGCAAGTGCATGAGGTCCTCCTCATGTTCAGCAAGCAGGGTGTGTCATCTGCATAACACAGATTGTTGATAGATCTTCCATTAATTCTGAAACCATGTTTCTCCTCATAGAGCCCAGCCTCCCGGATTATCTAAGTAATAAATATTCCATTGTTAAGCATAGAGTTTTCATAGGCCAACAATGTCAGAAGTGGATGGCTACTAGTCTCTTAGTCTGGAAGTTTTCTATATACACATTATGTTGTGTTAATGTTATGTGCTGTTGAGTCAGAACTGACTCATAGCTCTGACCCTCCCGTAGGTTTTCAGAGACAGTAAATCTTACAGGAGATTATCCATCTTTTTCCATGATACACCTTGTGGATTCAAACTGTGTGCCTTCAAGTTGGCAATGCATCTCCTTAACCATTCAGCCATTTATTCATTATAGCAGTCAGAGTATGTTAAGTTCATGGCAATTAAATAGACCTTATTTTGTTTATAATGCTGTTTTGTTTTTTTAACTGCTATTAAGTTTATTCTGACTCAAAGAAACCCTTTTGAAGAGAGTAGAATTGCCTGTAGAATTTTCAACACTGTAAATCATGAAGGAACCAGATTGTTTCCTTTCTCCCAAATAGTAGCTGATTGTTTTGAATCACTAAACTTTTGGTTAACTATTGATTTTTTAACCACTGTGCCCCCAGGGCTCCTTCAAGTGGAACTCCTATTTACCTTCTTTCCAAAAAATATTTCTTTGTAAGGAAATAATATTTACTAAGCTCTGTCTTACATACTTTGGGTAGAAGGGTCCTTGGTGCTTGAAATGATGGAGGGACAGCACAGAAGAGGAAGACCCCAGATGAGATGGATTGATAAAGTAACTGGTACAATGGGGGTTGGTGTATCAAAACAGGGTAGGATTCAGAGCTGCTGTACATAGGGTTGCTATAAATGGCAGATGACTCGATGGCACATAACAATAAACAACAATTTTCTATTATGAAGAACTAATGCTTTTATTTTGTTGTTGTGTTTGCAGCAACCTACGTTGTGGAAAATTAGTGTGTATATACAGAAGTAAATTTCCATTCTCAAAAGAAAATGCTGAAGTTCTTTATACCAGGGTAAAAGGAGACTTATGTGTTAGCCTGTATTTCCCCGACAGAAATACAACTGACCGCCATATGTGGGTACCAAGTGGAACCATCTGTGGTAATAATAAAGTAGGCAGTTTTATTTTCCTCAGTAACCTTAAAAAAACCTAAATACTATGTCTTGAATTATAACATGTTAAAATTATTATTTGTTATAAAATATATGTTCAATATATGTAAAAGCTATAAAATAATGAAAATATAAATTAGAAAATTATAATCCTTTAAGTTAAATACAGTGATAGATGTGTACACTCTTCCCCAGAATATCTAGTGCTTGTTTTGGTGAAATCTGCATGTATTTGCTGAATTTAGACCCATATCTCACATATACTTTTTACCTACATGGTATGATAATATTTCAAAGAAGGAATTCCGTAGATCATGAAATGTTTGATAACATGATTTCTAAGCTATTTTTGTTAGGTATCATTACAACTCATAGTGGCCCTTTGGATAACAGATCTGAACCCTATTTATTTTGTGCCATCCTTATCCTTTCTGACACTTGAACCGCATTGCTGCAATCACTATTATTAATCCATGCAGTTGAAGGTCTTCCTCTCTTTAACTAACTTTCCACATTTCCAAGCATGATGTCCCTCTTCAAGAAATAGCTTCTCCTAGCAACAAGAACAATCTTAGGGACCTCTCCAAAATACTCAAGAGCAACAGTGTCTCTCTGGAGACTAAGGTCCGCCTGATACAGGCCATGGTTTTTGCAACCACTTGTTATGCATCAGAGAGTTGGACAATGACTAGGGAGGATAGAAGGAGAATTGATGCCTTTGAGCTGTGGTGCTGGAGAAGAGTATTGAATGTACCATGGACTGCCAAGAAAACAAATAGATTCATCCTAGAGAGGGTTAAACCAGGCTACTCCTTGGAGGCAAGGATTCTGGGGCTTCGTCTGACATACTTTGGACATGTTGTAAGGAGAGACAAGTCTTTAGAGAGGGACATCATGCTGGGTAGAGTAGAGGGACAGCACAGGAGGGGAAGACCCTCTATGTGGTGGATTGATTCAGTGACTGGGATACTTGGGATGGGTGTGTCAGAGGCAATGAGATAGGCACAGGATAGAGCACGGTTTAGGGCTGTTGTACATAGGGTCGCTATGAGTCGCAAACGATTGACGGCACATAACAACAACAACAACAACAAAGCTTTGTCATTTTTTTTCTTTAAGATGTATCTGGTTATACTTTCTCCAAGACATCTCTTTGTTCTTTTGGCAGTTCATAAGAGATTCAGTACTATTCTCCAACCTCACAATTCAAAGGCATCATACTTCTGTCATCCTTGGTCATTGCCCACCTCTTAGATGCATAGGAAGGGACTGAAAAGACTGCAACATGAACGAGGCATGCCTTAGTACTCTTACTAACATCATTGCTTCTCAGCAATTTGGAGAAGTCCCTGGCTGCAGACTTTCCTGTCTCCTGATCTCCTGACTGCTGGTACCAAGGGTGCTGATTGTGAATCCAAGTACGATGAAGTCATTGACAATTTTATTCTTTTCTCCATCTACCATGATGTTATCTATCAACCCAGTGGGGAGGGCCTTTGTTTTCTGGATGTTGAAAAGCAATCCATATTGAAGGCTGTAGTCTTTGCTCTTCTGAGGCAAGTGTTTCAAGTCTTCCTCATATTCAGCAAGAAAGGTGCATTACACAGGCTGTTAATTAGTCTTCCTCTGATGCTAATGGCACATTCTTCTTCAGAGTCCAGCTTCCTTAATGATTTTCTCACCATACAGTTGAACATAAATGAGAGAGGATATGATCCTGATACACACTTTTCTTGATTTTAAAACATGCAGTGTTCCCTTTCTCTGCTCAAAAGCCTCTTGGTCTAGGTCCAGGTTTCATATGAACACTGGGATTTCCATTCTTCTCAATATTAGCCTTGACTTATTATATTCCATATAGTCAAATGCTTTTGCATAGTCAATAAAAGGCACACAGACATTCTTCAGGTATTCTGTGTTTTAACCAGTGTGAATCTGATATAAACAATGATATCCCTGGTGCCATGACCTCTTTTAAATCCAGCTTGAATGTCTGGAATTTTCTGTAAATGTATTATGAATCTAGCCACTTTTCTTCATGTGATATTAATCACATTCAATAATTTCCACATTCTTTTACATCACCTTTCTTATCAAGGGGAATAAACATGGCTCTCTTCTGGTCAGTTGGCCAGGCAGGTGCACTACAAATTTTCTGGCATAGATTGGTAAGCAAGTTCTTAGTTGCATCTGTTATTTGAAACATGTCAGTTCGTATCTATGTTTAACGATGTAAGTAACGGTAAAAATGTAAAAAAACCAAACAAACAACAAACAACACCAAAACACCAACTTTTGGAATATGGTTGTTGTTGTTACTGTTATTATGTGGTAAAGATTGATGAAGACTCATAATGACCCTATGAACAAAAGCTCTGAAACCTGCTTATTTTGTGACATCCTCATCAACTCTGACATTCTTGAGCCCATTGTTAAAGACCCTATTGTCAATCCATTTTATTGAGGGTCTTTCTCTCTCATGCTGACCTTCCACCTTTCCAAGCATGATGTCCTTCTCCAAGGAATGACCCTTTCCTAACAACATATCCAAGTACATTAGATGGGTTTTGCCATCCTTGCTGCCAAAGAGCACACTGGTTTTGCTTTGTCCAGAACAGACCTGTTCGTTCTTTTGGAAATTTTTTTTATCATTTTGAATGTAAGTTTACAAAGATTTATGGTTTCCAGTCATTCATTGTTGTACTTTTCTCCCTGCCCACCCCCTCCCCCCAATTCACTCTTCTCATTGAAAAGTAAAAGAAAAACTCTTTCGTTGTTATGCAATCCTTTCTCATAAGTCTAACTCAACAGCAACCAACAAAAACATCATCATAATGTTGTGATAGGAATTTTGTAGTCTTCATGTTAAGAAGTATTCTATTTTGAAGCTGTAGTCCTTGATCTTCTAGAGGAAATACTTGAAGTTCTCTTCACTTTCAATAGTGTTGCGTTATCTGCACAACACAGGTTGCTGATGAGTCTTCCTCTGATCTTAACTACACATTCTTAATCATAAAATCCAGTTGAACAGAATAATATGTTCAGCATACAGAGTGAACAAATATGGATAAAGGATACAGCCCTGACACATAGTTTTGTCAATTTTAAACCTAGCAGTTTTCCCTTGCTCTATTTAGATAGTAACTTCTTGGTCTACCTATAGCTTATATGTTTGTTTGGGAGGTTTTTTAGTGTTTTGCTTTTGGGGGATTTTTGTTATTTTATTCTGTAATTTTATACTGGTTTATTTATAAAGTTCTTATTCATTGTTTTTCACACTGGATCTTTCCCAATCCATCCTTCACACCACCCTCCCCATACCCATCAATTTATGCAATTCTCTGATTAACACCTTCACTCTCACCCCACCCATCCTCACCCCTTGGCTATCACTCTGCCCCCACTTTGTATTCTCATACTCATTCTACAATAGTGGTCTTACACAATATTTGTCTTTTGGGGACCGAGGTAGTTCACTTAGCATAATGTTTTCCAGCCCCTCTCAAGTTAGGTAGTAATTTACAAAATCATTGCTCCTGTGTGCTGCATAGTATTCCATTGTGTAACTGTACTGTAACTTCTCAATCCATTCCATTGTGGTTGGACATTTGGGCTGTTTCCATGTTCTTGTGATGATGATGAATAACACTGCTATGAACTTTAGTGTAAAAGTCTCCATTGGTGTCTCAGTTCTCATTTATCCTAGGGTATATTCCAACTGGTAGAATAGCTGGGTCACTGTAAGTTGCAAGTGACTCGGCGGCACATAACAACATCACTAATGTTACATACAAACAAAATCCTGCCAAAGATCATCCAAAAATGACTGGAATGGTACATTGACAGAGAACTATCATAAATACAAGCTGGGTTTAGAAGAGGCCTTTGGACAAGGGGTTTCATTGCCAGTGCCAAATGGATCTTGGCTGGAGGCAGAGAGTACCAGAGGAATGTCTACCTGTGTTTCATTGACTATGCAAAGGCATTTCACTGTGTGGATGACAAGACATTGTGGCTAACCTTGAGAAGAATGGGAATCCCAGAATACTTCACGGTTATGCTCATGTAAAATCTATACTTGAACCAGAAAGCAGTCATCTGAAAGAACAAGGAAACACTGCATAGTTTGAAGTTAGGAGAGAGATGTCTCAGGAATACATCCTGTCTCCATACTTTTGCAATCTGTGTATGAAACAAATCATTTGGAAAGCTGGACTTTATGAGAAGGAATGTGGTATCAGGATTGGAAGAAAACTGATCATGCAGATGACAAAAGCTTGCTTCCTGAAACTAGAAGGGCCTGAAACATTTGCTGAAGGTCAAGGACTGTAGTTTGCCATATGAATTGAAGCTTGCTCTCTTTTTTTAAAATTAGTGTTTCATCAAGTATCCTTTCTATATTTTGCTTTCAACCTGCCTTTGCCATTGTTATTAATTAAATTGTTGTTAATTTCTTGCATGCGGCATACTGTTGTGGTTTTATTTTATTTTAATCATGTTAATTTTCATCTTTTAATAGTGTGGAAGACTACTTGTAGATAGTGTAAATATTGCCATGTTAAACTTTATCCTGACATTTTATTATTGTGTTTTGTTCATTTGCTCTGTCATTGGTAGATCTGTTTTGTTTTTGCAGCTTCCTTATGGGTTATGTAATATTCTTTAAAAATTTCACCCTTATTAATTAATAACTTCTCTGAGGGTTTGAATCCATCAAAGGTAGTCTTCTTTTACTATGGCTTAAAGCCTCAGAAACCTAATAGAGGGTCACTATGAGTTAGAACCAATTCAGTGGAAGTGAGTTATACCAGGTATACTTTTCTTAGTTCATCTGCATATTAAAATTTACATAAATGTATATGATATTATGTATTAGTATACTTTTGTAATTTTGGGTTTATGATATGCCTGATTTGTGTTGCCTTTTATTGTACAGAGGTTCATAAAGCATCTTATTGCTAATATTATTTCTTAATCCTTTAAATCAGTTCATATTTCTTTTTCCAGTAACTAGAGGTTTTCTTGAATTCTCTCATTATTTCTAGACTTTACGCCTGCAAATTGGGGCAGGGGAGAAGTATGTCATTAAAAATTAATTCTAAGTCTATATTTTCTTGTCCAGATCTCACAGAATCCTATTTCATTCTTTTCATAGTACTGTACACATTTATTTATTTATTGTTTCAACCACCTTTTGTATGTATACAAATATATGTATATACATTTATTTCTATGTGTTTTAAATATTGTTATATTTGTGGTATCTTCCATCTTCTAAACATCTCAGTTTTGGTCAAATCTAAATAGATGAAAACATGGAAGACCTATTCACATAATTTGGCTATGTTATCAGGATGATCTAATCCCTGAGGAAGAACTTGATAGTTGGAAAAATATAGAGGCAGCATAAAAGAGGAAGCCTACCAACCAAATGGACTCTCATAGTGATTGAAACAATAGATATAATTACAGGAGAGTCATGGCACAGGATTGAGCAAGGTTTTAATCTGTTGTACATAACTTCACTCTGTGTCAGAACTTGTTGTTGTTGTTTAATGCCGTCGAGTCGTAGATGACTCATAGCTACCCTATGAACGAACAGCCTGAGCACTGTTCGTACATAGAGTTTCCGGAGGCAAGCCATTTTGGAAGTGGATGCCCCTCCTGCTTCCAGGTGTCAGAACTACTTTTTACAAATAATATTAAGCCAAATAATTTTATCCCTAAGTAGCACTAAGTTAAAATTTATTTAATAGACTTTTATTCCTCATTACAATTTGTAAATAATTTATCAACATATAAATTCTAAAAATGTGCTAATTAATTTCTTTTGGCTTAACTCTTTTATAGATTTGTATAGAAAACATGTGTGTGGATGACAATCTTTTGCCTAAAGAATGTACCAATGAAAAATGCAACCACAAGGGAGTAAGTTTCAGTACACATGGCATAAAAAAGTAGTTACATTTATTATGGAACCACACACACAAATACACATAAATATGCTGTATCTATTCATCTCATCCAGGATCTTCCTCTCCTGTGTTATCCCTCCACCTTTCCAAGCATGATGTCCTTCTCCACAGACAGGTCCCTCCTGTCCAAGTGCTTAAAGTATGTAAGATGGAGCCTCAAAATCTTAGCCTTCAAGGAGAAACTTGGTTCCACCCTCTCTAATACAGGTCTATTTATTTTCTTGTGGGTTCATGGCATGTTCAAAACTCTTCTCCAGCACTGCAAATCAAAGGTATCCGTTTTTCTTCTGTCATCCTTAATCATTATCCAGCTCTCTGATGCATAGCAAGTAACTGTGAAGACCATGACCTGGATCATGCACACCTTAGTCTCTAGACTGACATCATTGCTTTTCAGTAAGCTGGCGACATCCCTGACAGCAGATTTTCCCAGTGAAATTCCTCTTTTGAGTTCCTGACTGCTCGTGCCAAGAGTGTTGATTGTGGAACCAGGCAAGCTGTAATTGTTAACAACCTCAATCTCTTCATCTATCTATCATGGTGCTTCCAATTGGTCCAGTGGTGAGAATTTTGTCTTGGTGATGTTGAGCTTCAATCCATATTGAAGACTACAATCCTCTACCTTCTGCAGCAAACACTCATATCTTCCTCAGTTTCAGGAATCAAAGTTGTGACATCTGCATAATGCAAGTTCTTGAACAGTTTCCCACCAATCTTGATGACACATTGCTCCTCATATAGACCAGTCTCCTGAATGATCTGTTCTGTAAATAGATTGAAAAATTATGGAGACAAAATGCATCCCTGAGGCACTCCTTTCCTCATTTTTTAGCATATATTCATTGACATAACTATATGTTATTCTCACAACTCTTCAGTCTATTTGTCATACTACAGTAGTGTTCAAATTGTTGTGATGCTGCAAGCTATGCCACCAATAATTCTAATTAATAGCAACAAGGTCATCATCCATGGTGGGCAGATTTTAACAGAGCTCCAAGATTAAGACAGACTAGGAAAGGGATCTGGTGATAAAATTCCGGAAAACATTGGCCAGTGGAATACTTAAGAACTGGAGCAAAACATTGTCTAACATAGGTCTAGAGGATGAATCAGTTAGGTTGGAAGGCACTCAAAACATGACTGAGGAAAAGATTCTCTCTCAAAATACTTTAACTTAACAATTTGAGTGAAATAAAGTTTAGGAGACCTTTATTTACCAAAAATGAAAGCAAATGAGAGATATTATTTCCCAAGTAATCAACTATGTTTATAACTACTTCCCTAACCAAAAGCAAAGTTTACTACTTTGTATGACTGCACCACTGGATCAATATCGGATAATAGGTAATACCTACTCATTCCACCTGAAGCTATTGTCCGTAACTATCTGTGTTCAAATCAAATCAGTAACTGCTAACACCTAGAGGGAGTTTCAGAGAGTCCCACTACTACCCAAATAATGACCAAAGGAGAAAAATCAAATAAGCTAAAATGACCCAAGCAAGAGGTCAAAATAAAAGGCCAGGAAATATTCTTGAGAATAGAGAAGTAACAGAGCCAACAGAAAAGGAATTAATATATAGATATATTAATTGTATATACATTTGTTCCATTTTCATTTCTTAGCCCAGCTTAAATTTCTCACAGATCATTCTCAATACAACCATTTTAAACTTATCTTCAATAAGAGTTTACATACATGAGATACATTAATGATATTATTCAATCCCAAAGATAGCCAGTTGTGTAGATGGTCAACAAAAAGGAGAAAGTTCTTCAACAAGAGAGATTAACATTGTTATTGCACAATTAACTCAAACATAGCAACAACTGTGAAGATGGTTAGGACTGGGCAAAATTTTGTACATTGGGTGCAGTTGATCACTATGAGGCAATATGCTTTGACAGCAACAATTAACAAAAGCAACATATGGTAGTAATTTAATTCTAGTTGAAATTACATTATCTTGGCTGTTATATTTCTTCCTAGCTAAGTTGTATTTCTTACGGTTTCAGAGATGTAATAATAGAAGGAACTGTCACTGTGAAGTTCACTATTTGCCCCCCGATTGCTTAACAATATCTAAAACATGGCCTGGTGGCAGTGTTGATAGTGGCAACTTTCCTCCTAATCCTCGTAAGTATTAATAAAAATTGTAAGAAGAATTTAAAAATCAATTTAAATTATCAAATATTACATGTACTAGTTTCTATTTTCATTGATTTAGATTTGTATTGATTTGATAAAGTAAACCACAAAATTGTATTTTTAAAGTAAATTTCCAGATATGAACACATTACTAACCTTCATGAATAGAATCGTCTTGCTCTTTCTTTGTATTTTCCCTCTCTTCCCCCACCCCTCAATTATATTAAACAGATTTCAAGCAGAAATATGATTACCTTGTTGGTTAATATGGCTGTCTCTGAAGAAAAAGAAATAAGATAGTGATGAGAAACAGAAGTGTGAAAAAAATGCATTTAAATGGCTGATTTTTAAAAGATAAAATCAATATATTGGAATGTGTATGACATTAGGAGACACACAAATATGAATACATGATTGTTCACAGCTTTAGTTTGCTTGGCTCCACAGTCAACACTCTTGGCACCAATAGCCAGGAAATTAAAAGGCTTATTGCCATGGGAAAGTCTGCTGTTAGGGATCTCTCCAAAGTGCTGAAGAGCAATGGTATTTCTTCAGAGACTAAGCTGTGTCTGATACAGGCCATGGTCTTTGCAATCACTTATTATGCATAATAGAGTGATGACTACGGAGGATAGAAGAAGAATTGATGCCTTTGAGTTGTGGTGCTAGAAAAGAGTATAGAGTACCATGGACTTCTAGGAAAACAAACAGATTCATCCTGGAAAGGGATAAACCGGGTGGCTCCTTGGAGGCAAGGATTCTAGGCTCCATCTAACATATTTTGGATATGTTGTGAGGAGAGACCGGTCCTTGGAGAAGGACATCATTCTTGGGAGGGTTGAGGGACAGCGCAGGAAGGGAAGACCCTCTATGAGGTGGATTGATTCAGTGACTGGGTTAATCGGGATGGGAGTGTCTGAGACAGTGTGATTGGCACAGGACAGAGCAAAATTTAGGGCTGTTGTACATAGGGTTGCTATGAGTTGCAAGTGACTCGACGGCACATAACAACAACAACATACTGAAGTTGAACGAAATAGAATAATATATTATGGATACTTAACAAGTAGCTTATTTAAAATTAGTGGATATTGCTAAACAGATTTTCAGAAATGCTTGTACTAATGTTTATTCTCTCACTAACACCTCTCAAACTTCCTACGAAAACAGTAAATTGAAAATCCAAGATATAAATAATAGAATACAATGTTTTCATATTTATAAGTAAGAAACTGCGCTACAATCCTGAAGGCACACAGTTTGCATCCACAATGCACTCTGCAGGAAAAGGATGGAAAAATTCCTCCTATGACTCTGAAAACTCTCTCAAGGGTTAGCTATTAGTTACAACTCAGTGGAACTTCTCAACAAACAACACAATATGTATACATGATCTAAGTGAATCTATAATAACTTGAGCAGCAGGATGGGTCATGATGCTACAGAATGGTATCCTAGGTAGAAGTATTTGGTCTGGCATATTTGCTTGTGGATTCAGGATATCTGGAAAGTCTGCTTCAAGGCCAAATAGGTGAGGGTATGAACAATTGTCAGTGGGAAAGAAGAATGAAGTTCAAGCTGCACTGAAAGTATGAGAGGGAAAAAAAAGCTCCAGGTTGGATGGGATACCAATTAACATGTTTCGAGTAAAAGATGCAGTCACAGATATGCTCACCAGTCTATACCAGGAAATAGGTAGGATAGCTGTTTGGCCAACTGACTGGAATAGATCCATACTTGTTCCTATTCCCGAAAACAACAGTCTCCAGAATGTAGAAGTTATTAGAAAATATCATTAATATCACAAGCAGGCAAAACATTGCTGAAGATCATCCAAAAATGGTTAGAACAGTACATTGACAGAGGACTGTGTGAAGTTCAAGTAGAGATTAGATGAGGCTGTGGCACACACTGCTGATGTCAGATGGATCCTGGCTGAATGCAGATAATATCAGAAGAATGTCTATTTCTGTTTTATTGACAGTAGATAGGCAAATTTGTGTCTTTGGGTCTTAACAAACTATGGCTAACTTTGAGAAGAATCAAAATTCCAAAACATATGTGAAATGTATACCTAGACCAAGAAGGTATTATCTGTAGAGAGCAAGGGTACATTGCATATTTTACTATTAGGAAAGGTATATGTCAGGGTAATAGCCTTTATCCATACGTATTCAATCTGTATGGCGAACAAATAATTTGAGAAGCTAGACTCTATGCAGAAGAATATGTGATCAAGATCAGAGGAAGACTCATTAGGAATCTATCTTATGAGGAAGACACAGCCTTTCTTGTTGAAAGTGAGAACTTAGAATACTTGCTGCAAAAGATCAAAGACTTGCTGCAATAGATAAAGGCTTTAATATGAATTGCATATCAACCTCAACATCAAGAAGACAAAAATATTACATGCATGACAACAATATGGAATAAGGGGTGACTTACAGGGTGGGCAGGGGGAGGAGTAGAGATAGGGGAAGAAAATGTGCAACAATAAAAATATTTAATTTTAAAAAATCATCTACCAATTTAAAAAAGAGACAGAAATCCTTACCACTGGAGTTATAAGCAGTATCATGTTGGAAGAAAGATTGAAATTGATGATTATTTAATCTTAGTTAGATCCACCCTCAACATCCTCAGTACCAGCAGTCAGGAGTGGAAGAGATGTAATGCATTGGGCAAATCTGCTGTGAGGGACCTCTCCAAAGTGCTGAGGAGCAATGATGTCAATGAGAGAAGAAAAGTGCACCTGATTAAGGCTATGGTATTTTTAATCTCTTACTATGTATCTGAGAGGTGGGCCATGAATAAAGATAACTGAAGAATTGATGCCTTTGAGTTGAGTTGGAGAAGAATACTGAATATATCATGGACAAACAGATATGTCTTGGAGAAAATGGCCAAAAGAACAGATATGCCTTGGAGAAAATACCGCCAGGGTGCTCCTTGAAGATAAAGAAGGTAGTACGGCTTTGTCTCTAATACTTTGGGCATCTAGCCAAGAAAGGCTATTCCTTCGAAAGGGACAACATGCTGCGAAAGATAGAGCATTAGCCAAAGAGAGGAAGACCCTCATTAAGATGGATTGAAACTGCCATGCCTGGATCTCCTGTTGCGCCTGCATTTCCATGCACCTAGTCAAAAGTAGGTACCTGACTTGAGAATTTCTTGAAGTGTCCTGGACTGGTCTCTTGCCTGGACCACTAGACCATGGCACTGCTACCTTGCAGGGCCCTGACTCCGCTGACTGGAGGCACCCATTCCTGGTGCCTGGACCACTGAACACGTTTAAAAGACCTTATCTGGATGTGGGGACACTCCTGCATGCTGTCAAAAAGCCCTCCCAGGCTTTTTTATGGAAGTCCTGGCCCTGCTGCCTGGAAGTCCTGCCACTGCAAACTGGAGGCCCCACCCGAAATGCCCAGAAGTCCCACCCTTGCCACTTGGAGGTCCTGGACCCTCCATCTGGAGGACCTGGCACCACAGTCTGGAAGCCCCAAACCCAGCGCCTAGATGAAGACCTGCTGCCACCCCTCTGAAATGCACTAGTAAAATCAGTATCACAGATTAAACAGCTTTTTTTCCTTTCCCCTCCCAAAGTGTGAGGTGCCTTTAGACCAGAACACCTTGGACTGGCCTAGCAACAGCAGCAGTCTTAACAAAGGAGGCTGCTAATTCATAGGCCTTTTCATTCCCAAACTGAAGTAAGTCATCCCTTGAGTCAAAAGTTCTGAAAGAAACCCAGGAAGGGTACCTGCCTCACCCTCTTCTGGAGCAGTGACAACAGACCAAGAGGCTGTTATCACCTAAGACATGAAAAACTCTACCACAACAATGTCGCATAGAGAGAAGGCTACCTCACAGCCTATACAACTCAAAGCAAGATGTCGCTTCCAAAAAGCAGCACATTATCAATAGGTTTCCTAAAGCCATAAAGTCCAATGGAACTTTCTGATGCAAAATTTAAAAGAACATTGAATATCTTCAATGGGTGAAAGACAAACTTGAGGAATTGCAGGACGCCACAAGCAAAAAAAAAGAGGAGCTTTAAAAAACAATGCAGATTAAATAAATGAGGCATTAGAGGCTGGGGTAAAAACAAGAAACCACATGCAAAATATGAGGACCAATGTTTTAGATTCTGTCAACATGTTGGAGGGAATATTAACAGAGTCATAAAGATGGAACACAAAACCCATGAAATAAAAGATAGAATTGTAACCAATGATTTTTAGAACAAAAAACAGGATAAAAAAATGAAGGAAAGGGAAAAAAACCTAAGAATAATGTGGGACACCATCAAGAGGAATAACATGCATAGAATCCTAGAACAGGAAGAAGCAAGTAAAGGCACAGAAAAAGTGATGAAAGACTTGCTAGGCATAATGAAGAATGAGAGAATATACAAGAAGCTGAGCAAACACCATATGGAATAGACCTCAAAAGAAAAACACCATAGTGTATCATAATCAAATTTGCCAGAACCAAAGATAAGGAGAGAATTCTGAAGGCAGCTAGGGAGAAACAAAGAAACCTATAAAGGAGATCAAGTAAGATTAAATGCTGATTTCTCTGCAGAAAACATGTGAGTGAGAAGACAGTGGAATAAAATATAACAAACATTCAAATAACACAACTGTCAACCAAGAATACTATACCCAGCAAAACTGTCCATCAAATCAAGATATACTCTGAAGAACAGAACCTAAGGGAATTTGTGAAAACAAGACCAGAGTTGCAGGAAACACTGAGAGACATCTTTCATAAATTGCCACATGAAGCAGGATGGATCAAAGTAATCAGCAACAACACCAAAGAGAATTCAACAAAATGATAGTAATAAAACCTTGCCTCTCAATAATTACACTAAAGATGAATGATTTAAATGCACCACTGAAGAGAAAAAGAGCAGCAGATTGGATAAAACACCCCAAAATCCACCAAAAAGTTGTCTACAAGAGACATGCCTGAAAGTGAAGATAAAGACTAAATATAAAAGTGTGGAAAAAAATAAACCAAGAAAAACGGCAACTATAAAAAAGTTGAAGTAGTAGTATTAATCTCTGATAAAATAGATTTCAATACAAAACCATCACAAAGGGTAAGGAAGGTCACTACATAATAATTAAAGGGTCAATAGAACAAGAAAGCACAATAATATCAATGCACCAGATGATAGAGCTGCAATATATGTAAAACAAACATTAACAAAACTGAAAAAGGAAATAGACAACACCACCATGGTAGAGACTTCAATACACCACTCTCAAGAAAAGATAGAACTACCAGAAAAAAATAAAAAAAAACACAATAAAGCAACTAGATCTTATAGATATTCATAGGCTAATGCAACCCCCAAAAAGCACAGTATGCCTTCCTCTCCAATGTGCATGGAATGTTCTTGAGAATAGGTCACAAAGAAAGAATCAATAATTTTTTAAAAAAAAATAGTAATTAAAAACAGAAATAATACAAAGCATTTTCTCAGACAACAATGCTACAAAATTAGAAATTAATAACAGGATAAAGGAGAAAAATTCATTCATACTTTTGGAAGCTAAACAATGCCTTGCTTGAATGTGAGTGGGTACTAGAAGAAATAAAAAAATCACTTAAAAAAGTTTCTTGAAACAAATGAAAATGAAAACACAACTTATCAAAACCTCTGGAAAACAGACAAAGCATTAATTAGTGGTTAATTTATATCAACAAGCAAAAACATCAAAAGGCAGGAAAAAATTACCATTGACTTTCTAACCCAACATCTCCAGTAAATTGAAAAAGAACAGCAAGAAAACCCGATACCCTCTAAATAAAAATGTAATATAATAATTAGGGCAGAAATAAATGAGTGGGAAACAAAAACAATTGAAATCATCAACAAAACCAGGGGTTGCTTATTTGAAAAGGTCAATAAAATCAACAATCCACTAGTAAAACTAACAAAGGAAAGGAGAGAAAAGACACAAATAATCTGAATAAAAGATGAAAAAGGCAATGCCACAACAGAACTAAAATAAAAAGGAATATTATGAAAAAGTATACTCAAACAAATATAAAAATGTAAGGGAAATGTCAAATACTTAGAAACTCTTAACCTACTTAAACTGACAGAGAAGAAAATTGAGCACCTGAACAGACCCATTACAAAAGAAGAAATCAAACAGGTAATAAAAAACTTTCAGCCAAAAAAAGCCCTGGACCAGATGGCTTAGCAAGTGAACTTTATCAAGCATTCAGAGAATTGTCACCAATTCTAAATTATTCAGAAAATAGAAAAATATGGAATTCTCTGACTCATTCTATGAATCAAACATATCCTTGATACCAAAGCTAGGTAAAGACACCACCAAAATAGAAAACTACAGGCCAATATCTCTCATGAACATAGATGCAAAAATCCTGAATAAGACCTTGGCCAATATAATCGAAACTGTTGTTGTTGTTGTTGTGTGTCGTCGAGTCATTGGTGACTCATAGCGACCCTATGTACAACAGCCCTAAGCCTGGCTCTATCCTGTGCCAATCGCACTACCTCTGACACACCCATCCCGATTACCCCCATCACTGAATCAATCCACCTCTTAGAGGGTCTTCCCCTCCTGCGCAGTTCATCTACCCTCCCAAGAATGATGTCCTTCTCCAAGGACCTGTCTCTCCTTACAACATGTCCAAAGTATGTCAGACGAAGCCCTAGAATCCTTGCCTCCAAGGAGTAGCCTGTCTTAACCCTCTCCAGGATCAATCTGTTTTCTTGGCAGTCCATGGTACATTCAATACTATTCTCCAGCACCACAGCTCGAAGGCATCAATTCTCCTTCTATCCTCCCTAGTCATTGTCCAACTCTCTGATGCATAACAAGTGATTGCAAAAACCATGGCCTCTATCAGGTGCACATTAG